TTTGTCCCAGTTGTTGTTGACTCGGCCTGTCTGACTACTCTTGTGTCTCTTTTCCACCAGCTACACCCATTGGCGGCCGGCCATTACTGTGCAGCTGAGTAGTACATCTGTGGTCCGTGATCCTGGTTCCTGGCTGCGTCAAGTCCATCCCCTCCATCAGGGGCCATGGTGAAGGGCAGCCTGGGACTTAGACTCCCGCGCCCTGAGGGACTTCGGGTTCTGAGTGGGTGGTGGTTGTACGTCAGCAGTGCGTATACCATTGTTTGGCCCTGCCTGTCCCCGTATCCTCGGTCACCTGCCTCTGCACAGAGTGCCCTCTACTTGACCCTTACTAAATCTCTCCTGACGAGACACTTACCTAACTTGCAACGGGTTCTTGAGCGCTTCTTTCTTGGATTTTCAGCGTCTAATGTATCAACTTGGATTAAAAAACCGTCGGCTCTCAATATTACTTTGGCTTCAGAATTTGGTTTCGCAGCCTATCAATCCCATTTCCCTTACCGGTGGGCTTCCTCTTCCTCTGAATACTTGGGCATCCTTCGCCTTGACCCCCCACCCTATGGACTCCCCTCTTTGCTGCAAATTATTTTACCTATTGCTTAGCTCATATATCTTCCTTCTTATGCATTCCTCTGCAAGTTCCGCACCTGTCTTGGATAGGACGGGATCATTCAGTGAAAATGACCATCTTTGCCGAAATTGTTATATTATATTTCGCACCCCCCAGTGCGGGTTCCCCCTCCATTTTCTTCGGTTGCTTTCAGTCGCGAAGTTTATGCATTTTATCTGGGCCCAATAAACTACCCCAGAGTCTCTAGAAATACGCTTTTTGCTCATAGACTCCAAGGGTGGTCTTGGGGTACACTTAATGTAACTAAGTATTATCAGGCGAGCCATGATTGCCCCAGTGTCTATGTTGCTACGCTTCCTCGCGATGTTTCCTCTCTGGGTTTCTGGCTGGGAACTACCTAACTTGTGTGCCCCTATCGCGCATGTCGACGGCTTCCCCCTGCCCTGCGCCCTATGGCGCTGAGTCCGATGTTGCTCCCATGGCCTACAGAGTCTGGGGACTTGGTACGTCTACACCAGTGGGCCTGAGGGGTTACACCCTTTCTTGCCCATGCTTCCAGAGTATCGTTAACAACCTCTCTGTGTTCCCCCGCCGGTTGTCTAGAATCACCCGAGGGCATTTTCTTGGTGGTGTGCTCATGGCTTTTTCACAGGTGCAAACACTTTTTTGTGAATTTTTCGGTCATTTTTTCCCACACTTGGAATGTCCTTCGGGAGATCTCGAGTATGTTCCTCACCCCAGCGGAATTTTCCGGTACCACTTCAATTGCGGCACTGGATACTCTCGCTGAGGGCCCACTTCTGCTTTTCCCATATCACGAAATGCTGCCGTTGAACCTTTTGCAGCAAGGCAGGCCCCGCGCCCTTCGCAAGCAGCGCCCCAAGGTGCCCCGGGCCTTATCTCCCTTGTTTAACGCAGCTTTGAATACCGAACGCTCCGTCGCAACACTTCCTCTTTCATATGTTGCTCAGTGGGATACGCGACCTGTGAGTGGCTGTGGATCCGGAGGACTGGTAATAAGGCGCTGGTCACTAATAGCTAAAATGTTTCATCTTAATAACGACCAACGGCTGGTAAGCAGCCTACATTGGTATTGTTTCGTTGGTACTGGGTTTCCGGCTCGTCTGGCCCAGGCTAAACCCTGCCTGTAGTGCTCGATGTTTTCGGGGTTGTGGCCATCGTGTCGATTGACTGACATATCTGGTGGTCCATGCCCGAGGTTGGTTCGTTTTTGGTCTCGTGTGTTTTGGACTCCGTTTCACTTTGTTCCATCTCTCCATAATACGCCCGGGATGCTCGGTACTGCTTTTGCTTCATTGCCCCCATACCGGGCCCTCTTGGCTCGTCAGCAGCGGTTGGCTTCCTATTTGTTTTTATCGGCCCACTAGGACAATTGCTCAAGCCTGGAAGAGTCCGTTTGTACTTTTTTTCAGGGGGTGCGTGATCGTATGACTACTATGATGCTCGAACGAACAGATGTCGAGTATATGCAAACGACTCTCAACATAAATTTTTGAAAGTATGGGAGCCGTGGTTTGCAATACGCCTTTCCGCGCTCCCCCCGGCCAGTGTGGGGAGGTAATAGAGTTTGTATGGCGCTCGTGGACCCCTGCTCTTTGTGTGTTGTGTGTTGTTTTTTTTTCTCTTTCCTCTCTGCTTTTTCCTTCTCTCTTTTTTGTTTGTTTGGTGTGACAGTGACAGCTGCCTTTAGTTGGTGTTAGTCAGAGTTTCACTGATGTTATTGTAACACTATGTGCCATTGATAGCCCCTGCGTGGGCATCACGTTTTGCCTTATTGGAATGTTAGAGCGTTGTCTGCTCTATTTGCTTTTTTATCGGTGCAATTGATAGCCCCTGCGTGGGTGTGTTGTTTTGTTGCCTCTTTTTATACTTGTTTAAATTAATATATAAAACCATTGAAATATAAAAAATATTCTTCCCAAACATATTGACATCATAGTTGAAATATTACAATTTGGCCATATTCAATATATTTTAATATATATACTGTATATACATACATAATATATGTTGAAATGCTTTTTTACTACAAAACATATGAAAAATATTTTTAAAAATACATTTTCAAATATAACGTAATGTCTTTAAAAATACATTTAATCTTCTACATTTTTGAAATGCATTTACAAATATATGTTAAAATTACTTTTTAATTATGTTAAATTCTGAAGAATATTTAAAAAAAATAATATTTTTTAAATATTTTTCATTTATTTTGTAATATATAAGGGAAACGCATTTCAATCATGCCAGTATTCTATAGTTTTATAATGTATTGTATATATGATTATATGTTATTGGAAATATATTTTGAAATACTTACTGTTATTACGGCCCAAAATTGTAGTATTTCAAATATATGTCAATATATTTGGGAAGATTAATTTTTAAATTATATTTAAAATATATTTTTCTTCCATTGGGTGATACCTCTTCCTATCGCTCTCTGCATGTTTATTGGGGATGAGCAGCAAATATCAGCTAACTTGATTTTGCTGGTGAATTTTTCCAAAAATTGTCTAAAAAATTATTTTAAAAAAAAGTTTTTTCTTTTGAAAGCTATGAGCATGACTGGCCTGGCAACATTGAAGGGATGTTTTGTAGCATCTTTAGACTTAAAATCTCTTATAAAAAAATTTCAAAAAGAAACAAAATGGTAATTTAAAATATGCAAAAAAGGTATAAAAAAAGGCAGTCGAGTGATCATTATGTCTGTTTGACCTGCTGATCACATGCCCCTTATAATCAACTCCATGTAAAGTGAATAAGAAGTGAGATAATCACACTGACCTCCATTTTCCCAATTCCCTTAATTCTGAAGGTTCTGCCTCTAAGCGATCTCCGGGAGTTGAACCTTTCTATTAAATGCTGTACAAGCAATAAAATAAATATATGCTTACAGTTCATTTTTTTTTATAAAGCACTTCCAGCTCCAACAACAACCTTTCTTCTTTGACCATTAGACAGCGGAGAAGGACCCCTGTGACCCGTCTGTAGAAGCAGTGGTCTCTCTGCACAGATCAGGCATGCCTTATGCTGAATCAGAGTTAGAACTGTCCAATCAACAACACTCACACTCCCTGCTGACTGGGGAGAGCTGCAGAGAGCAGAGCAGCAATTATGTGAAACAGACCTGCAGTAAGACCAAATGAACAACCTCGGGATCCATTAGAAGAAAATCAGCTATATCATATTCAGGGCCTTTTTTTCTCAGAGAATAGGTGCAGAAACCCCTTATTTCCACCCCCTACCCACCTCTGAGAACCATCCCTTGGTTTCCACCCCTACCCACCTCTGAGCACCGTCCCTTGGTTCCACCCCCTACCCACCTCTGAGCACCGTCCCTTGGTTCCACCCCCTACCCACCTCTGAGCCACCGTCCCTTGGTTCACACCCCCTACCCACCTCTGAGCACCGTCCCTTGGTTCCACACCCTACTCACCTCCCAAGTACAGCTCCTTTTAGAGAACACAGAGCCAAGTATTATTTTGTATGGAATTTGTTCATGATAACAAAAAAAACAGTAAAATACTCTGCAGCCTCAGCCAGCAACATTAGCCCCCCCCCCCCCACCCTAGCAATAAATAGATTCCCCAGCAACAATGGACCATCACAGCTAAATTACACCCCAGCAAGAAAAGACTCCCATCAGCAACCATCAATAGACTCCTCCCTCAACAGTACTGTAGATCTCCTCCGGCAAGAACTGACCTCCCAGAAACAATAGATCCCTCTCCATCAACAATAGATTTAATTTCCGTCAACAATAGATCCCTCTCCAGCAACAATTTACCATGCAAAAATATATCCCCTCCAGTGACAACAGATCCCAGCAGCCAGCATCAATATACCTTCCAGCCTCCTTTGCCATTACATACATTAAAGTGTTACTAAACCCACAACAGTACAATCAGTCTGTAGATGCAGTAAAGCATTCTTGTTATACTCACTGTGGAACCTAAGGGGTCAATCCTTTGCATTGTGTAAAAAGGCCATTTGATCCTGTCTTCTCTGTTCCTCCCCTTTTTCAAGTGACTACCACTTTATCTCCTGATAAGACAGACTTAAACATAGGCATTTTGTACATGCTCAGCTTGGTGTGTATTGCTAGAGAAGTTTTTTTTTTTCCTTGGGCCAATCAGCACTGCTCAGACAGAGGTCTGCATCCTCCTAGAGCACAAAGAAAACTTCTCCTACAAGCTTTAACCAGTGCTCTGCTGGGCACTGATAGAAGTCCCAAGACTGCTATTTACTGCTGATGAGAAAAGGTATTTAGCAGTTTATATTTACTAAAATAATTGCATTTCCATGTTCTGTGTACTGTGGGAGAGCGGATATAGTGAATGCAGGGTTCAGGGAGACCAGATATAGTAAATGCAGGGTACAGGGAGAGCGGATATAGTGAATGCGGGGTCCAGGGAGACCAGATATAGTAAATGCAGGGTCCAGGGAGAGCGGATATAGTGAATGCGGGGACCAGGGAGAGCGGATATAGTGAATGCGGGGTCCGTGGTGACCAGATATAGTGAATGCGGGATCCGGGGAGACAGATATAGTGAATGCAGGGTTCGGGGAGAGTGGATATAGTGAATACGGGGTCTGGGAAGAGCGGATATAGTGAATGCAGGGTCTGTGGAGAGCGGATATAGTGAATGCAGGGTCCAGGGAGAGCAGATATAGCGAATGCAGGGTCCATGGTGACCAGATATAGTGAATGCGTGGTTCGGGAGAGAGCGGATATAGTGAATGCAGGGTCCGAGGAGAGTGGATATAGTGAATGCAGGGTCTGGGGAAAGTGGATATAGTGAATGCAGGGTCTGGGGAGAGCGTATATAGTGAATGCGGAGTCCAGGGAGAGCGGATATAGTGAATGCAGAGTCCAGGGGAGAGCAGATATAGTGAATGCAGGGTTCGGGGAGAGTGGATATAGTGAATACGGGGTCTGGGAAGAGCGGATATAGTGAATGCAGGGTCTGTGGAGAGCGGATATAGTGAAATGCGGGGTCCAGGGAGAGCGGATATAGCGAATGCAGGGTCCCATGGTGACCAGATATAGTGAATGCGTGGTTCGGGGAGAGCGGATATAGTGAATGCAGGGTCCGAGGAGAGTGGATATAGTGAATGCAGGGTCCGAGGAGAGCGGATATAGTGAATGCGGAGTCCAGGGAGAGCGTATATAGTGAATGCGGAGTCCAGGGAGAGCGGATATAGTGAATGCAGAGTCCAGGGAGAGCAGATATAGTGAATGCGGGGTCAGGGAGAGAACTAATATAGTGAATGCGGGGTCTGGGGAGACCGGATATAATGAATGCAGGGTCCTGGGAGACCTGATATAGTGAATGCAGGGTCCGGGGAGAGCGGATATAGTGAATGCGGGGTCCAGGGAGACCTGATATAGTGAATGCGGGGTCCGGGGAGAGCTGATATAGTTAATGCGAGGTCCGGGGAGAGCGGATATAGTTAATGCAGGGTCCTGGGAGAGCGGATATAATGAATGCAGGGTCCGGGGAGAGTGAATATAGTGAATGCGGGGTCCAGGGAGAGCAGATATAGTGAATGCGGAGTCCAGGGAGAGCAGATATAGTGAATGCGGGGTCCGGAGAGAACAGATATAGTGAATGAGGGGTCCTGGGAGACCTAATATAGTGAATGCGGGGTCCGGGGAGACCGGATATAATGAATGCAGGGTCCTGGGAGACCTGATATAGTGAATGCAGGGTACGGGGAGAGCGGATATAGTGAATGCGGGGTCCAGGGAGACCTGATATAGTGAATGCGGGGTCCGGGGAGAGCTGATATAGTTAATGCGAGGTCAGAGGGGAGCGGATATAGTTAATGCAGGGTCCGGGGGGAGAGCGGATATAATGAATGCAGGGTCCGGGGAGAGTGAATATAGTGAATGCGGGGTCCAAGGAGAGCAGATATTGTGAATACCGGATCCGGGGAGAGCAGATATAGCGAATGCAGGGTCCAGGGAGAGAGGATATAGTGAATGCAGGGTCCAGGGAGAGCGGATATAGTGAATGCAGGGTCCGGGGAGAGCGGATATAGTAAATGCAGGGTTCTGGGAGAGCAGATATAGTGAATGCAGGGTCCGGGGAGAGCAGATATAGTGAATGCAGGGTCCAGGGAGAGCGGATATAGTGAATGCAGGGTCTGGGGAGAACAGATATAGTGAATGCGGGGTCCGGGGTTTAGTAACACTTTCAGTGCTAGAGGTACCGGAACTGCGTTCCCTCGTGTTCTCGCTGACAAAAAGCCCTGATCCTATTACATCAACTGGTGTTAGAAGGAGGAGCCATTCTGAAAAAGCACACAAAAGTCAGGCAGAGTTCAGGCAGTATAACTTCACCATGACAGGATTTACTTTTCTGAACAAAACAGTCAGAGCAACCAGAATTATTGTTTTATGTTTTACCTAATAAAAACACAATATATTGAAATTACATTTCTAAATGTGGTAATGGAACAATCATAAGATGTCTTTTTGCAGAAATACCTGTCAATGGAAAAAGATCGCTCTTCCTTCTCTCACACCTTGTTACAAGACATTCAGGATCGGGGAAGAGAAGCTGTGATTGGACTCTGGGAATGTCTCTATATGTTAAAGAAAGATCATCCAAATTTATTGGCCGTTCTGGATGAGATCACACAGAGAGGTAACAGGACTTTGTGTTATCAGTCAACATTGTGATAAAATAATGATCAACATTAATCAACCCAAAATAATGATCGACACCAATTATCCCAAAATAACTGACACCAATTATGCCAAGTGTAACTCCATTGTTGGCAAACTACACTATCATTGTTCTCCTCTCTTTTCCTCTCTGACAGAGTTTCTCTCCTTCCCATTTCCATACAGAAAACCTCGCTGTCACTAGTGAAAAGGCTCGATTATTATTACATAATATTTTATGTACTAGCCTTTTCACTTGTGAATTAAATCAAATCCACCCTGATCCTGAAGGATCCTATTGTGTGTCACAGCTGCCAATGGGAAGAAGAGGAGGGAAGCCGGAAGCACTATGGGGGTGGGGCCACACAGGGGGGCCTGGCCAGCAGGGGGAAATGTATGGTGCACAGGGAAGATGATCATTGGGTGCAGCAGGAGGCAATTACTAGAACCAATCCCCTGTATGGCTCTCTCTGCAGCAACTGAAAGCCAGCAGAAGGGATAAGAAGAAGAGGGCAGGGCAAAATGCGTCCCCCCGTCCCGGTTTATAATGTGTAAGCTTAGAGGATCCCAGCTGTCACACACTTGTTAAAATCACTGCCACTACTCCTGTCAGGCTTGTAACTGATGGAAGGAGCCCCCATCCCTACAGAAAACCACTGTGCCCAGGGCAGCCGCCCCTCTTGCTCACCTCTTGTCCCGGCCCTGAGAGCCATACAAGGGATTGGTTCCAGTAATTGCCCCCCTGCCAATGCAGATCACCCTCCCTGCCCACATCCGATTCACCCAGCTGCTTGGGCCCCGTACAGGAGGACTGGTGGTACCCCCCATCCACGATAGACAGACTTTCTACCAATATCTTTTTTGTGGAATGTAAATCATGTGACCACATTACTCCTAAACCTCTATCTTCTGAAAAGCTTGTCTGGTCTACTCATTACTTGTTCTGACTCGACTACAGGACAATAAACTTTATCTCTAGCGATGTATACAGCTATACCACATGGGTGTTGGATGTATCTCTTGCATCAGATCAGACAGTTTAACTCAATGAATAAACTCACATGTTGAGGAAGTCAGATGAGGAAACCCATTTGAATGTTCCGTTTAATGGAGAATATTCATAGATAGAAAAACGTTACTGCTGTAAGCCTTATGGAAAGATGCATCCAGGAAGACAGGATACAGTGGAATGATTACAGAGAGAGGCAGGGGGGAGGTGTTCACACAAGTTCAGTCAGAGAAAGAGCTCCGTTTAGACAGGAGGAGGCAGCTTAAAGACAAAGAGCAATGATAAACAAGTGATGGTCACAGAGAAATAACAATAAATCAAATACTGTAACACAACACTACTAAAATATTTCACTGTGACAATTGGTGCTATGCAGGCCATACACGGGTCAAATTCCGAACAAATTTTCTTTAGAAAACCAGAAATTTCATGCATTTTGTAATCTGATGGTGCCACCATTGATTTCGAAATTCGACAAACCAAGCCTTCAATTCACCTCATTATTGCTGCAGAAAATAATTTTTGTGGCCAGGAGTTTTTTTTTCTTTCCAGATCACAGCTCATGCTCATGCTCATTTCTTTTTTGATTATATTCCTTGCACGATTCTACCATCATTAATGAGAACTTTGTTCATTTTTCAAAAACATTTCCAACATGCCTCATCACTCAAATTTGATTCGGCCACTCAAATGGTCGCATGAAAATAGTCTGTTTCTGTGGCCCCACAAATGTTGTGAAATTCGAATGAAAATTCTTGTAATATTATTTCGGAAATCGACCCATGTATGGTCGGCTTAATTTATTTTTTGATTATATTTCTCACACAATTCTCCTATCATTGATTAGAAATTCATTCGTTTTTCAAAAAATTTCCAACATGCCCAAGAACTCAAATCCGATGGTGGCACAAAATCGGGCATTTCTGTGGCCCACTAATGGTGCAAAATTAGAATGAAAATTCTTGCAAAATTTTATGAAAGAAAATTCTTTCGAAGTTCAACCCGTATATGGCCGGCTTAGAGGAGAGGGAGCAGCAGTGAGCGGTCTTTATTACAGAAAACTCCTGCACAGACTAAAGTCTCACGCTGATTACTGCAGAGATCTGGAAGAACACAAAGCATACCAAGATTCAAGGAACAATACACAGGATGAATATATTCACACAATATTTCCTTATCCCCGAGTTCAGCTTTAATGTATTATCTTTTGTTTGGACATAAATCTAATGTGTAGTTTGTGAAAGGTCAGCTTCAATCATACATGACTCAGACCGGTCATCTTCTATTCCTCTGTATAGGTGATTGTCTGGTGGATCAGATTCTGCTGGATGAACTCGGACACTCGCTGACTCCGGAGCTGAGAGGTAAAAGAAACAAAACACATTATATCTTATAAAACATGGGATCAGATTCTGCTGGATTTTTGTAATGAACGAATGAATGAACTACAAGATCCATCAGCCTTAGCAGCCGTGGACTTGTAGTGTTCAATGAACTACCACGGCACTCCACAGTTCATTGAAGATTCCTGTCAGTATATCTGCTTGTCTGTGTGAGATGGGGAAACAGCTTTCATTGTTTGAACACTGATTGAAGTAAATTAAAAATGTTTTGACTGACATTCTGCAGTTTAGCCACAAGATGTCACTGTTTTGTTCTAACACAGCCTCAGACTGCATAGAGATTTCTTTATTCATGAAGGGGTGGGGTTTTTACACTTGGAGAGTGAACAGGAAAAAGGAGAGAGAGCAGCCATGCTAGAGAGAGAGAAAACGGCTGAGTGACTTTGAGACTCCACAACTTAAAGTGACATTTCACATTGGAGAGCTGATAAAAATCTACAAACTCAAGCCAGACTGGCGTTTTGCTCAGAAGGAATACTCAGGTACGTGCTACAGGACCAGTTATGGGAGGGGGAATACTGTAGATTTGTGTAAGATTGTAAGCTGTTGTGCTGCACCGCAGGCTAGCCCATACCGTACACCCATACACTGATTCTTGTTCTTTTAGGGTAATAACAGGTAAGGTGTGGCAGCTTAGTTGTGCCCCCCAGTAGGTATATTACTACACTTTCTACCTTCATCCATCAGAAGGCGCCGTGCTGTGTAGCACAAGGGTCTCAGCATTTGGGCTGGGTGTATGTAAATTTATTGTATGTTCCCAGCATTTGGGGTTGTGTTTATTTGCCACATCTATGTAATATTCTGTTGTGGCAAAAGCCGGTGCTGAGATTGCTTTCCTCGTTCGTGACTTCACTGTATCCTGGGGAGCCCACCCCGGTACACGGCTTACATCTGTACACCCCATATATCCCGTACATGCCTGTACACCCCGTACATCTCGTACACCCAATACATCCAGTACACCCCGTATATCTCCTACATCCTGTACATCCCGTACATCCCTACACCCCGTATATCCCCTACATCCTGTACATCCCATACATCCAGTACACCCCGTACATCCAGAACATTCCATACCATCCCGTACATCCAGTACACACACCCCGTACATCCCATACCATCTCCTACATCCTGTACACCCAGTATACCCTGTTCTATCCCGTCCACCCCGTACATCCCGTACGGCCAAGCAGATATTTTGACAGATCTGCAGGAGACCTGCATGATAGCAGAGATCTACTGATCGCCGGTGTAATGCTTTCCAGGCTCCTTTGGACAATAATAATAAATGCACATTTTTTTTACCTGCAAAAAAATGTGCATTTATTATTTTTGTCCAAAAGGTGAACTTATTCTTTAACTGAACAAGCTGAAGTTAGAAGCTGATTGGCTCCCATGCACAGCTGCACCAGATTCTGAGTGCTCCAGTTTTAGGAAATCTCTCCCTATCATTCAACAAGACAGCAGACACAGAACAAGTAAGAATACAAAATCTAATATATAGGTGAGCGCTGGCGATATCTGGGGAGCAGCCAGCACACAAGGTGAATAATCCCCTACAATAGTATATGTAAGAAAATGCAGCGCTAAAAAAATATATATATTTTTTTATATATATAAAAAAAATATATATATTTTTATATATATACGGCGTCACTTTGGACTCAAACCTTTCCTTCCAATCTCATGTCAAATCACTTACAAACACATGCAGGCTCCACCTCTGCAACATCTCCAAGATACGCTCCTTCCTTACCCCAGACACCACTAAACTACTAGTACACTCCCTGATTATCTCACGTCTTGACTACTGCAATTCCCTTCTCACCCGCCTACCCCAGCGCAGGCTATCCCCGCTCCAGACCATCCTGAACTCAGCGATTAGACTCATCCACCTCACCAACCGCTCCACCTCTGCTACCCCCCTATGCCTATCCCTCCTATGCTGTTACACAGTTAATATTTATGTTAATGTACATGAGAGTTCATATAGTTTATTCTTTGTACCATTTCTTATGGACATTTCTATAGTTAGTTATGCTGCCATCCAGTGGCCTTATTTGGTATGCATTTGTTTTATATTGCCTCCCTGAGATCTATGA